AACGCATAATTTCTTGAATCTTTGATATTGTCACCAACCTCTGATATAGTAGGACTGTAGGAGGTAGCAAACACTTAGTGATTTGGTGGTAAAATAAAAAAATTTGTAATAAATACAAGATCTGATACATGAAATTATGAATAAAAGACTCTGTGGGCAAATTCATAAATAACGCTCTAGTTCACACGTGATCGGATTGATCGGTGTCATTTCTCGAGTACGTCAATTAGACGTTTCATACTTACTTTGGTATTCCCATACAATAGTATAATAAACCTTAATCATATCTTATAATCTCTATTCCAGTAGAATTAATTTTTGAAAAAACGAAATTGGTTTTTGTAATTTTCTTAATCTACAAAATAATCTTATCTCATTAAAAGTAATCTATAAAATCATCTTGTCAAATCTTACATTATCCCTTGCCTCACTGTTTTCATTCTCATTGTCTTTTGATGTTCGAAGTTCGATTTCATCTAATTTAAGAAATATTCTTAAATACAATTCAATCTTTTTCAATGATAGTAGATTATTGACCTTTGCAATACGTCTCAAAAAATTTTACGATTATCTAAAATTGCTTGAAATGATCGTTCTTTACGTTCTTTACGTTCTTTACGGTATTAATTCCGGGAAATTCGTTAATGATCATAACTTGGAGTCTTAAAAATATTCCCAATATTCTAATGATAATCTGATCTGTGTCCATGCACCGCAGTCGACCTATTCATAATGGAATAAAGTAACATCAGTTAATATTCATAATCTTGCACGTTCAATTTTTGTCATCACATATTCTTTTATTAATTGACTCTCCAGACTTTCGTATGTTAACAATCCATAATATTAATTTCACAATAAAAAGTATTTTTGACCTAAATTACTATTATATGAATCATAAGTTAAAATATTACGTAATATAAGAGAAATACCTTTTCCTTGAAACTACTATATAATCCATATATGTAAATCTACGGACCATAACATGGATGTAACGGTCATAACAACCGTAACAACCAGCTTACATCCTATAATACGCTGAAAAGTCTTTGTCAAGCCAAATGATTTACTACTTTGGATCTCGCTAGTGGTTACTAGCAAATAGACATGATATTAGAAAACTCTTTTAGTAATGTCCTTTGAGTTATGCTAATTTCATTATAACATATACATAGTTTTTTATGATCTGAAACACTTCATAATCTTCTACAGAAAATGTATAGTCAGATACTCTGATATTTTTTTCATAAAATGCTTTTCTACAATAATTATAACCGTTACTACAAAAATTACTTTCATTTCTAAGGCCTCCATAGCCTCCATATATTGTAAGATCTCTCGAACCAAATGATGGAACAATAACGTATAGCAAGATTTTCATCTACTCGACTTAAAATATGTTCGATATTTTCTTTATTCTTAAAAGAGAATATAAAACTTTTATTGGTAACCCAAGGAAAATTATCCAAAACATTATCTATTTGACTCATTTTTTTTTTAATAAGCTTTTAGATTTAGTCAATATGGAGCATAATTATTTCAGGACTGAAATGTATTCTACTCAATCCAACTTCAAAAATGGTAGTATATTCTTATTCTAGAACACCTTTTTTAGTCAATACGTCCAAAGCTTTTAAAATCCTATCTTTTATCATGTCAACATTCGCTACCGACGCTACGTATTTAAGAAAAACCGACAAGTGGACTATGGGTAATTAGCAATTCGAAGCGTCCAATACCTCTTTCAAAGGTTAACTTGGAAATGTCTTCCTTGAGCAACGAATAAAATGCTGACATGAAACTCGATACATGATCTATATTATTAACCTTTACTAGTCTAGTTTAACTCATAGGCTAAGACAAGCTACCCCTGTCTAGTAAAGAGATCTTAGCCAAACTATCGGAACTAGAATCTGTTCATTTGGGAATCCCAAAGATTTGGCACCGGATTATTACAATTATTGGAATTCTCCCATATCAATCATTTTTTAGAGATTAAAAATGACCAAAAAAGAAACGTTTCTACTACTTTCACTACTTGAAAAATAATTTAGTTATGAGGTCGTGTGAAGATAAATGAGATTTATGTGAAAAAAAGATGCTGCAAGACATGCATTATCGATCATTTGATCATCTGAATCGATCTGTATCTCCATATCGAAATTTTCCATAAAGAGGTAAAACCACAATGTTTTAAACCTCCATATAGAAACACGAGTTCGATACATTTTTAAAATTGTCAAAATATTTATGCTGCATGGACAGATACTCGATGATTTTCCAGTTGGTTATCTCGATTCCTAGATCTACCATACCTTATAAGTATTTCCTATTTCCATCACGTACTTGATCAAGATTATATGAGGTTTACTCAAAAAACATGATAGAGAAGTCAATTTTTTACAGGAGATCCACCATGTTAAAATGGAAAAGTTTAAGAGGAATAATTTGGAAAATAATTAAAATAATTGTAACTATTCATTTCTGTAATAAATCGAGAAAATTGGCTTGGATACATGTTCTGTATTACTTGCATTTTTTTTTACTAGAAAATAATTAAAATAATTGAATCTTGGAAGAAATTATCCGTGAACGAAAATCCATTTCTTGAATTAATGAAGAGTAGCGGGTTGTCGAAAAAAATTTTCAAATTTTAAACTTGGTAATTCAATATGCCTTGGCCATTAACTTTGATACTTCAACATCGCTGCGGATTTCATAGCCAACGACAAATCTAACGTTTTTATTTCTAATTAAGCTGTTATGAGAGATAATAATAACTTGATCAATTATTTCCAGTTATTTAATAAACCTTTTTTAATGGAAAACACTATTCTCTGGTTTACATACTCTACTAGTCATTGAACTTTGATTTATTTTTTTTTTAAAAAAAAATCTAAATCTTTTCTTTTTTTCTGACGAATGAAATATATAAAGAGATTGAGACTTAAAAAATTTTAATACATTAAATCAAAATTGTCATAGGGCTTATAGCGCGTTGAAATACCGACGGTAATAAAAATACCGACGGTGAGGCCGGACAAATAAGATTCTCGTGACATTAAATATTGAAAATGATGCGGGTGAGAAGCTTTCATTTTTATATGGCGTAAATAATAATTTTGTAAATTTTTTTATACGTGAACTGTGAACTGTGAATTCTTTTATATCAAAGTCATGTGATTTCATATATCGAAAAATTGATGCGGGCGGATTTAAAAATGTAATTCGGCCTAAAATGTTTGTCGGACTTTTTTTTTATGTAAACTACAACCCAAAAGTGGTCTGTAAGACAAATCCGCTTCAGGATAAAAAATAAGTTTTCTTTAGTACATTATACTTGTACAGTATATACTTTTCTAGGATCAATAGGATTATGTAATTTATATTTTGTAGATACTGAAACTTGAAACTGGGGTACCAAGTACCAAACGTGGCCAGGATTAAAATAATTACTTTTATCGTCGATATAGTGTACGAATGAAATCCACCAATCATAATTCTCACTTTCAAATTCTTTGTTAACATATTACAGTTGACTCCACATATGCACCCCTCAAGAGTCAAGAATATGCGTATGCATCATCTGTAAAAGGTGATACAAAAAATTAATAAGAACCGATTTTTTCTTTTTCAGAGTGCATTATACAGATTATACAGAGAGAAAGATAAGGAAATGTGCATTTAATTTTAAAGAGAGATGTGCATCAATAAAAAAGTATATTTATTGAAAGATTGATAACGTAAAAGTATGAAAATAAATAAAAAAAATAAATATAAATGTGGAATGCTTATGTGAACTAATTCTTAAATTGTTCATTTTTTTTTTTTTTAAATTAAAATTTTCCAAATTTATACCTTTAGCTAAAAAAATGACATCCATTTTGTGACTAAAGATGATTCATTCTGTAACTTCAGGAGTATCCCTTGAAGCTGTATGTAACCAGCGTAAGATTACAGAAGATGTGCCTCAAGTACTTGCAGTATTTTTTTTTCCGTTTCTTATACATTTATACAGTATAAAATATAAGTATATATGTAAAACAAGTTATTCAAAACCCTTATTTACAATGATTTAATGATTAGTTTAAATCCGATACCCTGTAAAATAATTAATTATTTTAATCTAGTTTTAACTCTTAAAATTTCTACAAGGTAAACGCGCAAATCTAAATGTTTTTTAGCGTCTGACCCCGGTATACCGATACTATCGATATCAATATATTATTAAAATTCATTATAACGATTAATTTACTTTTCAATATCAGTATAACTTTGATATAACAAAGATTTTCATTTTAACATTTAATAAACTAATTTTAATTTATATTAACTCACATGGATCCTGGCATTATATCAGAATTTGATTATATATCATACATAATGTTGAAAGAATTACGATTTACGACGCCGCTGACCCAAAAAATGATTTGCACGAAAATTAATGTTTAGAATGAAAATTTCATGGACCGGATATACAGATAGCCGATCCCGACAAATTTATTTTCACTAAAAAAAAAATTTTCTTTTTAAAAACATAAAATTATTTTATTTGCATTATATAATTATTTTAATTAATTTAGAAAAAAAAATTTAAATAAAGGGACGATTTATGATATTATGAGAAAATTTTAACTATTTTAACTGGTAATATTTCTACGACTATCCTACGTAAGTTTGAAGAGAATAAACATTTTAACGTTTTCTTCATTTAGAATTGAACTATTGGATGATTACAGCATGCATTATGAACCTTAATGCTTTCAAATTTTCATAATTTCAGAGATGAAGAGATTCGAGGATAGTGTTCGTGTTATTAAATTATTTAATTATTTAAAATGGGGTTTTTGTATTTAGGAACAGTTCGTGTACTGTATAAGAAAAATGAGAAAAAGTTTGAATTTCACGGATTGTAAATCCAAATTCGTAATTAATAGTTACGAAATACGAAATATCTAAATATCTATGAAATCCACATGGTCGGACCACTAACTTTTATCTTTTCGGCTATACTCCTTAGAATGGATATATAGGAATGATCTTAACTTTCATTCTCTCGGACCCGATTTGCTACATTAATTTGACCGCGATCGGCATTCATATGATTAAGCATGGTCTGATATTCTCCAAAACCTTCATCCTAATAAGGAAGGCTATTCGCACCTTGATCGGATTCATCATCTCGACCTGTGGAACATTTACAAAAATTTTTATATAAAGGATATGTTAATTAAGGTAACTCTATTTTTTACTTCTTGGTTAATTCTATTTAATTTATTAATTCATTTATATATTTAACAAAATGACTCAGAAAGGTATGAATTTTTTTTAAAAAAAATTATTGTTTGATAGAACAAACAATTTTAATTCAGATTAAAATATGTAATTTATATAAACTCTTATATCTTTTTTTTTTTGACAGATGTTTATATCGCTGCTATCGCAAGAACTCCTCTTGGAGGATTTAATGGATCATTAGCATCACTCTCTGCTGTAAAATTAGGTTCAATTGCTGTTGAAGGTAATCAATTGAATCGAATCAATCATCGAGGTTCTTAAATAATTAATATAAAACTCTAATTTTCTCTTTTTATATTATAGCTGCTTTAAAGAAAGCTAAAATTGAACCTAATAATGTTCAAGAAGTCTTTTTTGGAAATGTTCTTTCAGCCGGCCTTGGTAATCATTTAAATTAGAACTTATTCTTTGTCTTTTTTCTTTATTTTTATAATTGAATATTCAAAAAAAAAATTTTTTTTCTTAATTATAGGTCAAAATCCTGCTCGACAAGTTGCTCTTGGTGCGGGAATTCCTGATAATGTGATTGCTACAACTGTCAATAAAGTATGTGCATCTGGTATGAAGGCCGTGATTTTAGGTACTCAAACAATTATCACCGGTAACGCTGATGTAAGTTTTAATTGTAATCATTAAAAAAAAAACCTTTTCTTTTTAACTAAAGTATATGAATAGATTGTTGTTGCAGGTGGTACTGAATCAATGACAAACACTCCTTATTATGTACCCAGTGCAAGATTTGGATCTAAATATGGAGACCAAACTCTTGTTGATGGTATTGTTAAAGATGGGTTAACAGACGTATATAACAATTATCTTATGGGTATGGCAGCTGAAGAATGTGCAAATGAATACAAATTTTCTCGTGATGAGCAAGTAAATTATTTTTCCTAAAATAATTAATAATAATGATAATAATTTATTTATTTATTAACACACGCTCATATATATTTCTTTAAAGGATGATTACGCAATTTCTTCTTATCAACGTGCACAACAGGCTTTTGCCGATGGGGTTTATGAAAATGAAATTGTTCCTGTAACTGTTTCTGGAGGCAGGGGAAAGCCTAATAAAGTCATTACTCAAGATGATGAAATTTCAAATGTAAAAAAACTTTATAATTACATGATTTTATTTAATTGAGGATTGAAAAAATAAAAAAATAATTAATTTTTTTTTTTATTACAGCTTAATGTTGATAAGTTACGTGCGGTTCGTCCAGCTTTTACTGAGAAAGGTTCAGTGACCGCACCAAATTCTTCACCATTAAGTGATGGTGCCGCAGCTATTGTTTTGATTAGCGGTGAAAAAGTTAAAGAGTTAGGTATAAAAACTTTAGCTAAAATTAATGGATGGGGTGATGCTGCTCAGGTAATATATATATTTATTTATTTATTTATTTATTTTGATTAATCAACCAATTTAAACATTAAAAAATTTCTTTTTCTTTCAAAAAGACACCATCTAAGTTTACAACATCGCCTTCATTAGCGATTCCAAAAGCATTAGCACACGCAGGAAATATTCCAATATCACAAGTAGATTATTTTGAAATTAATGAAGCATTTTCAGTAGTAGCATTGGCAAATTTAAAATTACTTGAATTAAGTAAAGATAAGGTAAATGTATTTGGAGGTGCTGTTGCAATGGGTCATCCGTTAGGATGTAGTGGTGCAAGAATAATTTGTACTTTAATTAGTGTATTACAAAATAAGAATGGTAAAACTGGTGTAGCCAGTGTATGTAATGGTGGTGGTGGTGCTAGTGCAATTGTCATTTCATTGCAATGAAAAATGGATAAGATGATTAGTATATATAATATTCAACTAAAATTATTTAATTACGGAAGGAAAATTTAATAAAATTTTATTTTCATAACAGCTGTGAAAGCTTGAAACATGGTATATCATTGATTAAATTACAGAATTTTTATAATTGAAATATTAAAATTATTTAATTAATTGGTCAATATCCATCATCAAAGTTATCATTATTATACACATCCATATAAGAAGTATGACCTATTACCTATTATATGATTACACCACTTTACACTACTGACTTTAATTCTAGAAGAATATTTATAGAAAATATAATGCTAAAATGACCTAAAAATTAAAAAAAATGAATAATTGTATCACTTATATTACATCACCAGTTTTTTCAAAATGCCTCTAATAATTTATTGATTTTGATCTAAAAATAATGGTGCAAATGATGCATATATTACTTTTAATAATATAAGTCAAATTGTAATAATATATGATTTTTTAATTTACTTTCCAATAAAAAAGTATTATAATAATTTTATATTTTCTTATAAAAAGAAAAAGGCAGTATTATATATAATACATATTTCACCAAAACTTTAATATTCTAAATATATTTCAGATATATTCTATTCAATATCTTATTCAACAAAATTATAAATAATAAAATAATTGAAAACTTTAAACAATTATATTTCTATCAATATTAATAATATTAGAAAATAAGATAACTACCATTTGGTTTATTTAATCAAAATAATCCTAATAAGCTATAATTCATTAAATTTTTACAGCTTTTTTAATATTCCAATTACCAAAATTCTTAAATATGTTTTAGAAGAATCCTGCCAACTACTAAAATATGTTACTAATGAAAATTTCATTTTCATATAAAATCTTACTTTAGGATTTTCTTAAATTTGATTGGTTAATTAACTAAAAAGGAAAAAATCATAACAATATAACATAAAATTTCCTTTTATAATAGAATCTTTAAAGAGTTTTATATATAAACCTTATTTTAAGCTATAGAGTGACCTATTTTAATAGTAAACTGGATCCTATTTTATTAGATGTATTAGATCCCTAAATATTTTAATTTAGCTCATAAATAACATATAATAAAATGCATTTTTTACAATAACTTAGTTATTATTAATATTTAGAAATGCAATTTTATTATTATTAAAATTCTCTTATTAAGTCAAATCCAATAATATAAATTTTAATTAAAAAAAAATCAATTAATTAATAATACTCAAATTAAAATAAAATTTCAGATATTTCTAATAAAACTCATTTAGTTTTCACAAATTTGTATAAATTTTGTCTAAAATTATAATTTAAATTTTAGCAAATTAACTTAAATTTAATTTAATGTTATATTTTTTAGTTTTAGCAAATTGGATTAATTTTTACAGAATTATTAATTTACTTTTAAGCAAATTAATACTTTTTTTAATAATGATATATAAATTTATAAAAAAAAAACATTTTTTTAAAAATCAAAAAAAAAATATCATGTATTCTTCAATTATATAATGAAATAGAAATATAATAAGAATATTTATTTTAAAATAATTTTTGTAAAATTATTATAAATCAATATATAGTATTTTGCATTTGTAAATAAAAAGTATTATTTAATAAAATTATAATAAATTATAGCTTAATGAATATTCAAGAAGTTTAATATATAAAATTAAATACTAATAAAAAATAACAATTTAGTTTATCTAGTTTATTTTTTATTTTCTAATAAAAAAATAAAAAAATACTATTTCAGAACCATTATTACAATCATTATCAATAACTTAACACTAAATATACTATATTCTAAAATTATTTTTAAATAAATAAATATATACAGTCAACTCCCTCTATAGTCACTCCAGTTATAGTCACATTCTACTATATAGTCACACCAGTTGAATGTTCAAAACACTTTATTATTAAAATCTATCCTATATAGTCACAATCTATCTATAGTCACTATCACACCTATCCTCAAAAATCTTATATTAAAAAGAACCGTTTATAATCACAGTTATATAAAGAATATATTAAATAACTTGACATCTAATAATCGTACAAAGATGTATCATAGCTTGTTAGAATCGTCTCACTGAGACGAATCGAATGGTGGTAGTTTTATCCTTTTCCTGTGCAAACAGTTTTATGACTAGTTTTATCCTTTTCCTTTGCAAGTGTTTACGGCCAGACCACCCATTGCCTCTTATGAAACTAATCTTGGGTCTGTGTCCTATCATCTTCAATGGGCAACCATTAAACCGAGTACTTAATTCCTCAGGTAACAGCACCACTATAGAAGACATCCCCCATCGGGCCATTTAGGCTGATCTGAAGCTAGGTACACGCCGCCTACTCATCCTATACCCATTGCATGATACTGATACTCAATTTATTTAACGACCTTTAGAGAGCATCTACTTTCATGGAGAACTTTCGACGGGTAACATCAACCATCTAGTACCCTTCCATACCACCATTTTAGGTACTAAGTCTCACTCAAAGGCCACTACAGCCCGCGATTACCTAGCACCGATAGTACAGTTGTTTACCCCAAGTAGTATACTTTTGTAGTGACCACTCAGAAAGGAAGTAGCAAGCATCTGTCCAGGATCACCCCTTATGGTGGGTATCAACCACCAGGGATCACCAACCAGGACCCAAGGAGTAGGGAATCGAACCCCATAGCCATGCTACCTGTTCTGTGCACGAACACCTTAGTTGGTCTAAGACCTAACAGAAGGTCTAACTACCACTAAGACATTGCACCCTCAGCTTTACCATCTAAGACGACCATCTAGCCATTACTGAACCCAAGCGGTATCGTAGAGTGACCACCCGGACAGGAAGTCCCCCCCAAGGTATAGTAGTGATCTCAAGGACAGGACTGCGCACATGCCAATGGCCTCATAGGGAACGTTAGAAGGACACCATGACCCTTAGTTGAAATGTGCGGCCTAACCGTACAC